TTGGCTGGTCACATGAAGACTCATTTCTAGGTTTCATGAAACTTGTAATTCGCTGGGACCCCAGGTCAACTCAGGCGGCCCCTTGTCCACTCACCCTGGCTCAGAACAACTGTGTCACGAGGACGGTGCCTCCCGCCCAAGAGACCCCTGGAGTCACTGGGCAGTGGTCACTTGTATGTCAGCAGCTGCCCCAGAGCTCTGTGACCCTGGCCTCCCCCCGTGCCCCGTGCCCCTGAGGCTGCTGCTGGGGCAGTGGGTGCCCACTGGGAGCCGGGTGACGTGAGGGCCATGGCGTGGGCTTGTGGGAAGATCAGAGCCGGGGGGGGCAGGGGAGGCCCCCTCACTCGCTAAGGCCGTCTGGTGACTGACGGCCACTCTGCTGCCCAAGAGTTTCAGATCAGAAAGAAGAGGGAAAGGCAGGTGTGTGGGCGAACTGCCCGAGGTCCCCCGGGTGGGAGCTCAGCCCTGCGGGTGGGGCCTGAACCCCAGCCAGGTCCAGGGGAAAGGTAGCTTCCAGGAACTGGGGCTGAAAGCGTGTTATCCCCACCCTCAGTTCAGAATGGGGTGTCAGCCTGGGGAGCCCCGCGGAAGGGGAGTGCTGCCCTCCAAGTGTTGGGGTCTGCAGAGTGCCCCCCACGGGTGGCGAGGAGGGTGTGTGAGGCCGGGAAAGGGCCAGTGAGTCGTGAGCACCACCCGGACCGCCTTCCTCGGTCAGTCTGCCCTCTCTTCTGCCACGCAGGCAAGTCACGCTTAGCAGACCTGTAGTTGGAAGAAGGGGCAGAGGTGAAGTGCCAGAGGTCAGAGGTCGCAGGCCCGGAGCCCATGGTGCAGATGAGGCTCCCCAGCCCACGCGCGTGTGCTCCTGGGGGCCCCACTTCAGGACGGGCTTGGTGAAGTGGCCGGTGTCCCAGGAGGACATGGGCCGGGAGGCTGACCCGGAGCCTTGTCCCAGGATCTGCTGGGGTGGGGACACACGGAGCCTGAGCACAGTGATCTGCAGCAAGAGCCCGATTTTCTCAGAAGGTTCTGTCCCCTTGGAGGGGGTGCAGGGCAGAGCCGCCGTGCTCCCCGAGAGCACAGGCACCCAGGATCTTTGGAAAAGTTCCCGTGGCCAATCAGATGACTCTGGGCAGGCACGGTTCTGGTGGTTCCCCCAAGTGTGGGCACCTGACACCTGATGGGACCTCCTGGCAAGGGTGGTGGGGCCTGAGTGGGGAACCTGGCTGTGTGGGGCCGGCAGCTCCTTCTCAGAAGCGAGAGAGACAGAGAGAGAGAGAGAGAGAGAGAGAGAAAGAGAGACAGCTATGCGGCTGGGGGTGGGGGACCAGGCATCGAGCCCCAGGACATCCAAGCAGACAGCATCTGGCCGCTCCTGCCGGGGTGTCCCCAGCCCAGCCTGCTCCCAGCCTCAGAAAGAACGTCCTGAGCCTGAGGACGGCTGAGGGCACTCTGTCCGCCCAGGGACAGGCCTGCCAGCCTGAGCCCATGCCTCCCCAGGTCCCAGCAGACGGCGGGGCCCAGGGCGCAGCCTCCCTGCTGCTACAGAAACCGCTGCTGAGCTGTGTGCCGCACTGCTACGCCCAGGAAGTGAGCCGGCTCTNTTGCAATAAACTGGTGTTGACAGTTACGCTGCCCTGGCACGTGTGTGAGCGTTGACACAGGCCTGGGACGGGTCCTCCACACTCAGACCCTGGGATGGGAGCCTAGGGGAGCCTGCCCTGAGGGAGAGGGGCTGCCTGTTGAGCATCACCTGCTCCCGTGGTGGGGTAAACATGGGGGGCTGCAGCTCGCCTGGACCCCGCTGAGGTGGCAAGGGGCCGGGGACGTAGACAGACATCCAGGGTACCACCGACAGTGCCGTTAGGAGTAAAGCACTTAAAGATGTCCCTGGAGTTCTCTCCACCCTGGACCGCCATCCTCTCAGGCAGGGCCCGTCCTGCTTGGCTGCTCCACATGTGGGTTGTCTCTGCCGGGTCTGGGCAAGTGGGGTCATTTCCTGCGGGCCTCCAGCCTCCCACTGCCTGGCCGCCTCTGCCTCCCCAGCTGGCCTTGCTGACCGGAGGCGTCCCTTGTCCCGTAGCGGTCACTCACAGACCATCGACGACCGTGCTAGTAGCAGCACATTTGAGAACTGGCTGTGTGCCGCCAGGTGGGGGCCAAGGCCCAGAGAAGGGACTGGGTAGCAGGCCTGGTCCAGCCGACCGGCGTCCAGACGCCCTGTGCTGTGGCTCCACGCTGGCAAAGGCCACGCCTGAGTGAACCTGTCCACGGTGGGCAGCAGAGGGCCCCCTTCCCTGGTGGTCTGCAGGGGACCGGGTGCCTGTGGGGCCGCAGCTTGGTGGGCTGGAGCGGCCCCGGGAAGGAGACAGACCTGTGCGTCTGTGGTCTGGGCACTTCCCGCCCTGACTGCACCGTCCTTGCCCAGGTGCCCGGGAGCTGGGGGAGTTTCACGCCTTCATTGTCTCGGACCTGCGCGAGCTCCGGACGCCTGCTGGGCCCAGCATCCTGCTCCTGCGTATTCAGAACCCCTGGGGCCGGCGCTGCTGGCAGGGGCCCTGGAGAGAGGGGTGAGTCGGCAGGCGCGGGGACCCCAGTGGCAGCTGAGAGCCGTCAGCAGTGTGGGTGCCCAGCCCAGTGCCATGGCCTGTGCCAGGGTCATTCCCATGGTCAGGACAGTGCTCGGCTGGTGTCCTGCGAGGCTCAGCCAACCCCTGCTCGTGGGCCACATGTCCTGTGCTTGGCCCCAGGTGTCCCCGGGATGCTGGCTGTGCGCTTGGTGCTGGGACCGAGGGACCCTAGGTCCTGGGGTCCTGTCTTGACTGCTCACGGAATGGTGGACGCCCAGCCGGGTTGTGGATGACAGGGACCTATGGGACGCCTGCGCCACTGCCCCGTCCTGGTGCTGGGATAGCTCCCCTTAGCCGGCGGGGTGCTGAGCAGACCCCCACACTGGTCTGAGGAGCTCCACCTGAGGCAGTGGACACGAGTCCTTCCCTCACTGCTCACTCATCCATCTGCTCAGCCGGGCCGTGAGTCGTCCAGAGGCCGGAGCCCGTCAGGGTGACAGAGGTGACTGCCCCGAGGCAGGTCCAGCCCAGAGCATATCCGAGCATGGGAAGGGCGCCATGGTGCTGGGCGTCCAGGGCTGGCAGGGACATGGGCTCTCAGATGCCCTCTGGGTCCCATCCGCCCCATCAATGCTGCCAGCTCTCAGATGAGGCCTGCGCTGAGCTGAGGTTTCCTCCAGGGGCGAAGGTTGGAGCCGGGTGGACGCGGCGGACCAGGCTGAGCTGCTGTCCCAGCTCCAGGAGGGGGAGTTCTGGGTGGAAGAGCAGGAGTTCCTCCGGGAGTTTGACGAGGTCACCATTGGCTACCCGGTCACTGAGACCGGCCACTTGCAGAGCCTCTACTCAGGTAACTTGCGGCCGGGGCAGCCTCCGTGCGCGTGCAGCACACCTGCCTTCCAAAGCCGGGCCCCCGCAGGGGCCCCTGGCACACCCTTGCCCCACGTCACCCCCTCCCGTCCCAGTTGGCGGAGGTGGGGACGCAGCGGGGCTCGTGGAGGCCTGGTGTTTGTGAGGGCGTGGGAGCCGACGCGCTTGCTCTCGCCCCAGAGAAGGTGCTGTGCTACACGCAGGCGCTGCCTGGAGCCTGGGTCAAGGGCCAGTCGGCGGGAGGCTGCCGGAACAACAGCGGCTTCCCCAGCAACCCCAAATTCTGGCTGCGGGTCTCAGAACCCAGCGAGGTGTGCGCATCCGTCCTGCAGAGGCCCAGGGTGCGCACGGCCGACTGGGCTGGCCGGGCCCGGGCCCCGACGGGGAACGACCGCACTGCGTGGAGCCCGGCGGGCGCCCCGGGCAAGGANCATGGACATTGAGATCATTATGCTAAGTGAAATAAGTCAGACAGAAAACGTCAAGAGCCATATGATTTCACTCATATGTGGGATACAAGACTGAAGGCAACAAAGGAACAAAACAAGCAAATAAAGAAACAAAAACTCACAGACACAGACAAGAGTTAGTGGTCACCAGCGGGGAAGGGAGAAGGGGGGATGATAGGTAAAGGGGGTCAAGTATATGGCGATGGAAGAACTGACTCTGGGTGGTGAACACATAATGCAACATATAGATGATGTAGTATAGAAGCGCACACTTGAAACCTTCGTAGTTTTGTTGACCACTATCACCCCAATAAACTTTAAAAAAGGGCGGGGGCTTTGATCTGACCACCCTTCACATCCAGGGGCAAGGTAAAAGCGGCCTGGGGATGCAAACCCTGAGAAGCACTAAGAGGTGGCAGAGAGCTGTCACTAGTTAAGTCCCCTTCTCCTCCCTGCCCGATCCTCTGTGAAGGCTCCTGCCACACTGCAGCAGCTGGAGAGCAGGCCGAGAAAAAGCCCCGGGCCGCCCTCCTTCCCGGGAACAAGGATGGGGAAGCACAGGTTCCTGCAGCAAGGGTGCACCCTTGAGCAGGCCCGGAAACCGCCGCCCTCCCGTCCCCGCCGCGCTGAGCGGCCGTGAGCTACCACGGCGCGTCCGGCAGCTCACTCACTGTCCAGCCCGCTGGCACCAGGAGCCCGGCTACCTAGGAGGATGCTCCCATCGCATGCCCCGCCCCGCTCGAGATCCAGCGCGTCTGACCCCAGGCTGCCTTGCGACAGCCTCCCAGGCCCGGGAAGGCCCTGCCCCGGGCCACCTCATTCCCCCGGACCCCGGGACACAACCTCCACACCGGCAGACAGGCCACCTGCCCCAGCCGGCGACGACTCACCTTCCGGAACGAGTCTCCCATTGGCTGCTCCCACAAAGGCAGGCCCGCCGCCGCGCGCCGGAAGAAGAGGAGCATTCTGGGAGGCAGCGCTGCATGCTGGGATCAGTAGTCCACGGCCCGGCCTCGGCCGAAGCGGCGTCTCCGGTCCCGTTAGCCCCCAGCGGTCCCGACGCCCCAGCCCGAGCCACACCGGCTGCAGGACCAGACGGCCGTCGGCCTCTCAACCGTGAACCGCGGCAGGGACAGCGCCGGGCCCCGTGGCCCGGAAGGAGCAGTGCCGCTGGGAAGACGCTCCAGCCTCGCGAGNACTGCAGAGTGCTCCAGCCTCTGGGGCCCCGGGGTGATGTTCTAGACACCCCCTGGATCCGCGGGGTGGCCCCCCAGGCTCCCACCATCTCAGTTCTCAGGAGGCAGTTAGTTCCCGGATGTGTGGGCCGGTGGCTGGTCCTGCTCAGGTGGGGGGCTTCGTGCCTTCCACTGGCCCAGGACACGGGTCCTGCTCTCTGGCTGCTGGGGGGCGGGACATGGGGCCTGAAACGACCCTGCAGTTCAGACCCGTCAATGTAACTGACAACGTGTCTAGCCCAAGTCCACATCAAGGATTTTCCTGAACAAAGGACATTCTTTTACTATGAGTCCTGTGAGCTTCCTAAACTGATGGGGCCCAAAGCCAGTCCTCCTTCCAATTCCACAGGGCCTCCGGGCCATCTCACTTGGTGTCACTGTCCTGTGGCACCCTCCCTCTTTCTGACTCATATGACTAGTCACCAAGCGCCTTTCTCCACTGCTGGCTCAAAATCTGGGGCTCTGAGTGCACTCTCCCAGCCCAGCTTCAAGACCCACTTCTGAGCCCATGCAAGGGGAGCGACCTTTTCAAGTGCAAACATGCCGCCTGCCTCCATCGCCTCAGAGCCCCCCGTGGGTCTCACTTCTGGACCACATCCGAGCCCTGGGCTGCCACACTCTCATCACCCTCCACAGGTTCCTAAACTGCTTCCCTGTGCATGCCACGCTCATCTCGCGCCCTGGGGACACAGCGGTACAAAAACACATCCCCAAATTCTCCTGCCTGTAAAGGTAGTTCTTGATGCCGTCCCCTTGAGTGAGGGCTGGACTTGGGGACGCGCTTCCAGTGAGTGGAACGTTGCAGACATCTGAGGTGGGTCATGAAACAGCGCAGCCTCCATCTTTCCTGTCCCTTTGGATCACCTGCTCTGGGAGAAACCAGCTGTCACGCTATGAGGACACTCGAGCAGCTTCCTGGAGGTCCACCCGACAAGGAACTGAGGCCTCCTGTGAGTGACCCAGAAGCGGACACTCCAGCTGACGTCAGTCCTGGCCGACCTTCCCACGGCAATTTCCCAAGAGCCAGACGCGCCCACCGGAGTCACTCCCACACTCCTAACCCACAGGAAAGTGACAGATCATTTGAAGTTGCTACGTTTTGGGGTTATCTGTTACCAGTACAGGGCGATTCTAGCACCGACCAGTTCCAGGGCTCAGGGACATGACGAGACCCAGGCTCTTTCTCCTGTTCTGGGTCCTCAGCACACTGGCCTT